TGTGACCATCTTAATTTTCGTGTCATTTAACCTCTAAAAAGTCTATTCGCGCGGCTGTTTCTCTTGTATACAACAGGCCCATTTTGCCGAAAATTCTCTGATCGTAAGCCTCTCTTGATAATGATTTCCTCTTGATCATCTTGCCGCACCCGCCGTTTTACACAGCTGTAAAACGCGTATCTGATATGCAATGTTTCAACAATTTCGCTGTTTTTTTCATTCATTCGAAGAAAATCCAATGAACGGTATTGTTTGAAATTTTCACAGAATATTCTGTACAAGACAAATGACCTAGATTTTGCAATACCACTTGGAACCACTACGTCTAGATCATCTCAAAAAACACATCTGTCGTGACTTAGTTTCCCTATTCAAGTATGTGCAGATAGCATTTAAACGCGGACGAGTCAGAAATTGTGGTTCCATGTAGCGACATTTAGTCCGAATAATAATCAGTCGATATCTCACAAATAACGTTCGCTGGTTTTAAACGTGACAGGCAATCAGTGGCGTGGCGTGAACGATCGATTATCGATATTACTCCATTTTAAGTTATGATACAAAATCGATTGGCAAGGTGTTTGCTGCAAACACCTTGTTTATCGATCCTTTTCCATAGGTTTGAATGACAGATCTATCGATGATCGCAAAGCACGCCAGGAAATTCGCAACGTAAAAAATCGAATTGTGCATGTCATATTACTTCAGTCGTCGATGTGCTCTTCAATCCATGTTTTCTATCCAATTGTATCCTCTCAGCATCGATCTTTCGATTTCTGTTTTTGGTAGGCTGTTTGCCTGGCAACCAGACAAGCTGCGTGGACAAAGGGCGAAACACGAGCAAATTGTGATCATCAAGAATTTATTTGATCCAAAAATTTTTGATGAAAGTCCCGCTCTAATTCTCGAATACAAGGAAGATCTCCGCGAAGAAGTAGCGAAGTGTGGAGCTATTAAGAAAGTCATCATTTATGATGTAAGTTGTTCATCAGTTCTCTCTCCAGAACTTAGTAGCCGCAGTTGTAGAGATTATCATGTATGTTAATGACTCACTGCGTTTTAATGAGTATACTAAAGGAAATAAGGACACTGGCCGAAATTAATTGTTGGGAGTCTGCGAATCCCTGTATCAGTTTAAGAATATGCTCGCGCCTTTCCCAGTGAAAATGTTAGACATGGTTTAACATCTAGAACAGCAATCTGCCCGTAAATGTTTGAAATTATGAAAACTAAAGTTATAGCATTCTGTTTCTGTAATTATTTCTGGTACTACCCTGTCCTGTATTAATCTGCTAGTCGATGGTGTAGCCAGTGCAT